TATTAATATTTCATATTTCTTAAAAATAACCATTTGTTGGTAAATTTTCCTTGAGATTTTATATTATATTATATTTATATTATTGATGGAAATAAGTATAAATGAAATAAAAAAAAACTCTCTTTTATTAATTCCTATTATATATTCCTAATTAATTATTCCTAATTCCTATTATATATTATATTAGATAAAATATTTCCATTAGTTACTTTTATTATTCGTTGAAATCATTTTGCAATAAGCATCAATAAAAGACAATGAAAAATTTTAAAAGATTCTTTAAATTGGTTCGTAACCTCAAAGTCATGGCAAGTAAAATTACATTACGATAAGATAAAAAAGCAACTGTAAATTTTGAAAGCGTCATAAAATATGTCACTGGTCGATCGGTCCGAAGAAATTTTTACGCACGTGAAATCGACATCCGGTTCAGGTGAGAAACAATATTAAATGTGTTACTGCATCGTTTAATAGAAACGTCGTTCCGCTATTATAATTCAAAATAATAAAAATTAGCATGATACCAGTCGAATTCGAAACCAAATTGACATCGATTTTCGACCCTGATATATGCATCGAGATTTGATTGAAATTGAATTAATTAATTAATCGATATTATATGAATCATAAGATCGTGTTAAAATTGTGATGTACGTATATATCTCTCACATGTGAACAATTTTGCCAAAAATAAAAGCAGCTCAAAGATAAAAGAAATAAAAAAAAAAATAGAAGAGAGGAATAAGAAACAGAGTGATGATAGCAAGGCAAATGAGCAATTTGATAAGAACTGGATAATCAACAAGTACAGTCACCTCTTGAGCAAATGCAAACGAACGATTCCGTCGTTTCAAGATTATCAACCGGTTGAATATCGAGGAAAAATTCATAGTGTTTTTTCCAATTCAACTGTTATCTAAGAACTTGTTTATGTATCACGGTCTCGGTAATCATAATTGCGAAGATAATCTCGTTTAAAATAAGAATGGACTCTGATTAATTCGGATAATTTCAATCATCGAAATCTTCTCGAATAATCATGCTTTTGCAGAGGCATCGATTCATAGGAAAGGTCAGGTTGACATGATCGGGAATCTGTCAACTTTCAATGAATGTGAACGCATCGGCGCCATATGTTAGCGTGCACGAGCCATTGCTCTATTCCTGTAAAAATCAACTAATAAAAAGACAACTCGTCGACCTTCGATATAGTCTATGCCTCCGTGGCGAGTGGCTCTCTCTCTCGGTCTCTTTCCCTCTTTGTCTATCTGTGTTCTCTACACGGTCGTCCTCTCTTGCTCTGACACGACTCACTTGTCTCTCTTCGTCTTTCCCTCGCCGCCTTTCTCCTTCTTCCTCTTACCGTTCTGTTTCTACGAGCAGTTCACCAGTGTGCACCGTTGCCAACTTTCACGTATCATAATACACAGTGAAAGAATGTGGTTTCCCTTTCAAATTACAAAATACGGTGCGAGTGCACATTGCACGCCGTACATTTCCTTCGGCTGATCGCTATTTTCTTTCTTGCCGTGATTTCGTGCGTGATTTCGATCTTGACGATCCTTCGAAGATTTTGATCGAAACTCGCGATCATGTACGGGTATATTCAAATTATCCCAATTCTTTTATGTTTGTTTGTTTTATTATCTTCTTGATTTTTATATATTTATAATAACAATTTATGAATCATTTGTGATCTCCAATTTAATAAAAGCTATTATAAATAAGTTGATTTGGCTATTGCAAAGCTATTATTGCAAAATATTTTTCAAGAGAACTTTGTCAATGATTTCTTTGATATTTCGTACAATTAATTTTTTATCTAAAATATCAAGTCACATTCATATATTATGAATAGTTCAGATTTAATAAAGGAGATTTTTATGTAATAAATTTTAGCTTTCTTTAGTTTCACTTCATACCAATTATTTTCACATAAATTCAGTATATTTTGCTCTGAATGTAATGTTGATGTTACAAGTTAATAACGAATATAATATATATAATATAAAATTACACATTGAAATTAAATTTAAAATTAAATTAATAAATTAATAAAAACATCTTAACAGAGAAAAGAAAAGAAATCTTTTGCATTTAAAACATCAATCGATTCAAAGCTCAATTAATCTAATCGATCCACTTATTATTTCCGCACAAATTATGATTATCCTGACAATGAGTAACATTTACGAAGTATACCATAATCGTGTGTATCGACGATCTCTTTCTTCCTCTTTCCTCATATGAAGTCGCAAAATCGCGTTCTATCAACGAGCCCGGTTTCGCCTTCTCCAAGGATATAGGTCGACCGGTGCAACACCTGAGACTGGAACCTTGATTAAGATATTACGTTGCCACGCATGGTCCACACACGATCGGCTAGTCGATTTTACTTCTAAAGACAGACTTGACCCAGATATTCTGTAAAAACCAGTAGGCACGTCCGTTCTAATTGCGAATATCGATTCGACGGGACTCGCAACGAACTGGCACCGCCGTCGGCGGCCACGATTTGTATCATCTTTCGATGGCAATTCGCTCGAACAGGAAAGTATTTATGCGCCTGGCCACGATGAATTGGGTCAAGGATATGGTCCACGTTACAGCCATTCGAACAATAAAAGCTGTATCCTTTCAACTTTCCCGTTAAGGAAATGGAGAAATGAGCCTAAAGAATTCGATAAAACGGATCGATGCCTGAAAAACGAAATTAGATTTGAAAGGACCTACACAAGGAGATTAAACATATTTAGTATTACCAAATGGTATCCGTATTTCGATGGTCTAGTTACATTAGTTTACATATATGTACTATGCGTGTCTCGGAAAAACTTTCATTTTCGAAAGAATGCTTTTGTGTTAATTGATTATTTCGAGTAGATCAAATATTATTTCTGATAAAAAATTAACCAAACGTATAATATGAAATTTATTAGAAATATTGTACTTTTTAAAATTTATTTTACTGTGATATAAATATGAAATATATGAGAATGTTAAATCAATTTAATTTTTTTTTATTAAATACAAAAAGATAATTTGAAAAAATAGAAAGATAATTGGATATACAATTAATTTTAATATCAACTTGTAAAAATAATTATATCGATATGTAAACATCATAAAATATTAAGTAATTATAAATATTTAAGAATTGTTTGAGTTCATTTCTTTGTGAATTCATAATAATTTTTTTTTAAGATTTCTATCAGCCAAATATTTCTTATTTCTAATTATTTTGTTTTTTTAACTTTACGTTTTTCTTTACTTAAAAAACAAAAATTTTAGATTTTTTTTATATATATATTTCATATTAAAACGATTTAACATTCTCATCATATCATATTTATATTTTATAATATTTTACATCAAAAATCATAATATTCTTAAAGAATTTCATATTATTGCATTTGTCTAATCATAAAAATAATAACAATTATTATGAATAAATTTCATGTCACAAATAACAATCGCTTATGAATAATAGTATAAAATAATATCATTTATCATTTTTATATTATAATGTCGTTCATCTATAAATTTTGAAAACAAAAACAAAAAGTTTTCAGCAACTAAGATTAAAAAGAAACCCAATAAAGATATATATTTTAATATCAATGCTAATTAACAACATTTAAGATGAATTCTAATAATATTCTATTAATTAATCAATTATTTAATAAATGAATGCTTGAATTTATTACTCTTTAAAAAAAATTGAAATTACATATTTTCTATGATCTTGCCATTCGTAACACTTTGCCTAAAAAAAATTCATAATAGATTTGTATTTGCTTGTAAAACAACATATATAATTTGTTTATCATTTTTGTGATTTTTTATTTAATTCATTAACATTTTAATAACGAAGTACACTAATTAAAATTCTGATTAAAGTTATATTATTTACGAGAAAATAAATATATTTTAATATATAGATATTAGTTGTAGATACAGTTTTTCAATTTATTGCAGTCGCATTTCACAGTGATACGAATTTTCCATTGTTATTATTATATTATATTATCTTAACATTGAAAAAAGTAATATATAAAAATTTTCATAAAGTGAATTTATTATTCTTACTATATGACTTATGATGACTTTTATCATGAAACGATATACTGCTTAAGAAATTAAAAATATTTAACAATCTTATTAATATTTACTGAAAATATTTTTAATAACATTTTTCTGTTGACAAAAGATTAATTTTTAATTTGTTATTTATATATCTTATTTGATTTTAGAATTGAAATTTAGATTTTATGGCCGGATTTCGTGATATAAAAAAATTCTACATTTACTATTTTCATTTGTATGTATATTCATGATATAGTTAAACAAATAATGCATACTTTTCCAGAAATGATTTTATTTTTTAATTATTAATATATTATTAATAATTATTAACAATTATTAATATATTATGTATTATTAATATGTTAATTATTTATTCTTTATTAAAAAGTATATTACATCAATAAATAACTTGATCACGATTGCTTCTCTTTTCATCATGTTTCATCATCACTGATAATCGAACGACAAATCAGTTGATTTAATTGTAAATCGCGAATATTTTTCAATTATATTAATCAATATAATGTATTCTAATAGAATATAATTTTTTGTATTATTCTATCAAAAATGAATTGAAAATCTTCAATATGTTTAACCAGATATTCCTCGAGAAAATCAAAAATCAATGTTCTTGCAATAGTACCGATGTTCGCACGGGAAATAGGTTTCCAGCGTATTCTATTGGAACACATTTTTAAATACGATGATAAGCAAAATTTAATAGTTGAAGTTATAATAAATATATTATATAATATATTATAGAATATATAAATATTCTATAAATATATTATAGAATAAAGCTATTTCGATAAATTATTTCAATAATTTATTATTCAAAAAATAATAATAATCGCAAATAATTATAGTGTAAAACTAGGGTTACATGAAAAACGAATCAATTATAACGTTACGAATAAATGTTATTCAAGCATTTTAATAAGTAATTACTTAAAGTAATTTTATTCGAAATTTTTAACTAGTTATTTTTTCAACTATTATATATTAGGATTAATGTCCAATTTAATGTCCTGCTTAAGTACAATATTTCTGATTCTTCAGTAGTTCAGAATATTCTTAACAGCTGCGAAACATCGCCATTTATCTGGAAGATAAAATGGCTCGAAGATGTGAGGAAAGGGAGTATCCCAGCCTGTGACCCTTTGTATCGGTGCTTCCAAATGCAGAAAACACTCTTCCTGTATTATAAATATTAATAATTTATTTTATTTTCTTTTTTAATTTTTTGATAGATGATTAATTGATGACATTTAAAGGATCTCAAAATACATGTTTTGTATAATTTTAATAATATTAATTTGTATTATTTGAAAAACTTTTAATTATTTTTTAACACGATATGCGATGGAATGAAAAATTATGAAATTTTGAAAATATATTTAATAAAAATTTTTAAATGAAATATGTAAATAAGATTTTAGAATATAAAAGTTTTGAAAAATTAACATATGGCATATATAATATAAATTCTATCATTAATAAATATTATACACTTATTGTACAGTATTATATATAGAGAAAATATATCATTAGTGAAAAGTATAAAACTACAGCATAATTCAAAAAGTATATAAATTTTTATTAAAAACGACTTTGACATTAAGGAAAGATTTTTCGCTAGAAATGTATTAGAATAAAATTATAGTTAATGATTATAGTATTAATTTTAAAAAACATAAAAAAAATAAATATTGTTATAATATTGATCTTTCATTCGTTTTTGAGTTTTTTACTATAAATTTCTATTTAAATCTCATTAAAATAATTTTTACATTTTAAAATACTTTACATAAATTACATTTAAACATTAGAAAATATGAAATTTCCCTATAGTTTTCCGAATTTTTATTGAATTAAAAAAAAAAAAAATAAAAGAAATAAAAAAGAAGCAAAACATTATCGTAATTATAATAATAATTTTAAGAAACATTGAGAAAATGAGTTCAAATCAAAATCTGATAATTTAGGTTAACACGATTTCGAAGATATCAAAATAATCATAATATTTATAATTGATATATATTTCAACTTCATCACCTCAAATGACAAATGCAATCATATTATTAGGCGGATGTTTGAATTACAAACGACCAAATCGAGCTATCTATTTGCTAATTTAGCGCTATTGAAGTTTTGCAAGACAGCAAAGTTTGTACATCTAAGCAACTTGAAGCGTATCGAACCATCACGAAATGTGCGCATGATGTAACAGAAAATATGTAATGATATCCTATTACATTCCAACAATACATTGAACATGTATTTAATGAATTTTGGATACTCTGAACACGATATATGTAAATAATTTCGTAACAGGAATCTACTTAAAATCCCGTTTAATTATCAGTTGTACGATCAATCATACGTTTGGTTCGTTAACTCTTAATATAAATATGTTTCAATTACATATAATTATTTTCATGTATCGCAATATAATTATTTTGATATTTTCATCAAATTATATATTTTATTTGCAAACATTTATGAATTGATTATTTATGATAATAACTTAATTTTGCTAACTTTCCTAATTTTTCTTTATGCCACACTTAAATTTTCATTAACTTTTATTATATTTGTTCGAAATAACTTATAAAAAATAATAAAAATATTAGAATTATTTCAATTATTTTTATTATTAAAATATATATATAACTTAATAACTGATATTAGCATATTCAAATTTCAAAAGAAGTGAAATTTTATCAATCAATTTAAATTTCAAATTTTATGAAAATATTTTTTATTTTTTTTTTGCTATTCTAATATTTCTTCGTAATAGTTCAAAATAAAAATATTATTTGAAATATAATATCAGAATTTTAATTTCATCTACATTATGTCATTTAATAAATTTGAGAAAATATTTACCTGAATGATCGAAACTATTTCTGCTCCAAAGCCATTCGTTAACGGAGCTTCATGGGTGATTATCACGCGGCCAGTCTTCTTCGCCGACTACAACATAGCGCATAATTATTATACCTATAGAAAAATGAATACATATAAAATATAAACTATATATTGATATATATATTATATAACTATAATATTGATATTTTGATACTTGAAATACTTTTGCAAATAAGTCTATTTTAATATTTAAGAGAATTATTTATATAATGAAATATTAATAGTATTTTTAAAAATATTTTGAAGTAAGATAAATAGAAATAAAATATAATTATATGTCTTTGTTAATATATTAAAAACATAGTACAATTCTAGAAGTAGATTTTGTTAAACTAATATATTATATATAATATTTTTATATTTTGTAATTTATTAGGATATATACACATATATATATATATATATATATATATATATATATTATATGATATACACATTAAATCTAAATTTAAATATCTTAATACATCATCGTGTTAAAACTAAGCTGACTACTTCTATCAAAATAAATTTTTTTATTTCTGATTAAAGATCATTGTTTTAGCTTTTCATTTACTTATATTAAAATATTATTGGAATATAAATTTTAAAATATTTAATAATAGATATTAAAATCCTAAAACTTCAATAGTATATTATTAACAACTTTTTAAATAGACTTTTAAATAATTTTAAATAGATTTTATATATCTTTAAAAGATAATATTAAAATATTATTATAATGTACATAGTTTCAAAGCAATAATATATATTTAAATAATAGAATATTAAAGTTTTAAAGTTCCAAGTATTATGATAAAGATAATTTGTAATTTTAACTCATTTTAATTAATATTAATTATATCTAAGAGCTAGAAAAATATAGAACTTTAGATATTTTCGGAAGAAAATCAACACTTTTTAAAAAACATTCATAAACCCTTAATGATAATTAATAAATAAATCATTAAATAAATAATTAAAATAAACCATTCTGTCATTAAAAGATAATCTTATCATTTATTCAAGCAACTCCTTTTCTTTTCACATATCTTTATCAGAATTATGAAATCGCTTAATTAAAAAATCGATATTCATAACCAATATATATCAATAAACGACTCGATCGAAAGTTCGGAGCAGACTGGTCATCATGATCTAACTTGCTATTACGTGCCGAAGGTAATTCATTTGATAGAACGAACTATTCCGAGGATCAATTTATGAATGATTTATGCACCATCCTATATAGCATAATAATAATTTATAAGCAGCCTGACATTAAGCGATGCATTAATATAAGAGAACAGAACACTTTGTAGCTTTGAGTTAAATCTAAAAGAGATCAGATGTTGGAAACTGGTGTACTAGATTTGTAATTAAGACACACATAGACGCACGTATATGCTTCGTTGTAAATCATTAGAAACGGTAATTCGATAGTACCTGCACTATTCTTTAGAACAATTCTCTGTATAGTTATGTGACATTTCAAATTTCAGATGATTTAGCTAGCTGCTTTTTGAAATCGTGGCTATCCTTGAAGATTTTTTTTATATTGACAATTAATGGAAAATTCAATTTTAATCTTATCAAAAAGTTTATAATTATATTATATTCTATCAGAAATTCTTTACATTTTTAACTTAGATATTCTTTAATTGAAAATCGATATTCAACATTTTCATAAAAAAAAAAATCGCATAGGAAACAATTTACAACAAAATTCTATTTATATTTATTTGAGAGGAAATATAATCAAATCATTAAAATTCTTTATTTTAACTTTTGATATTTTTTTTTTTTTACATAAATTGTAGCATTTGATAAAAAAAATAATTTATAATAAATTTCAGCATGATTAAATAGAAGAATCCATATTTAAGTTAAAATTAAAAAATTTATCAACTTCATAGTTATGTTCCTTCTCAATTCGATCATTTTAAAATTATAATTATATATCAATTTTAATAAAAATATAATTTCTCATATATAATCTTAATAATAACATGTATATATGATTTTCAATTTTATATTTAGAATCGCTGAATTTTGTTATAACTTTGTATATAATGCAACGATTAACAATGAGTTAAATAAAACATAAAAACATTTTATGTACCTGAAGCTTTCCATCAAGTTATAAAGAAAACCATTTTATGTATAAATAAAAGTTTATTTTAAAAATTAATTAATATATTTTAAACAATATATATAAATATATAATATATTTTAAACAATAAACAAATATTAAATGTAAAGAATGTATGTACATAATATCATAAATAATATATTCAATATTATATAATATATATTCAAATATGATATAATATTTTAATTTCTGAAATGATATGCTAAGATTTAAAATTAAAAAAAAACTTTATAAGTATAGAAATATTAACAAAAATATAAATTGTATAGGACTCTGAAAATTTAGTTAGCAATATAATAACGTCGGAAAATATATGAATAATAGAAGATTTTTTCCAATAAAATGATCTTCAAAGTGATATATAAAATTAATATATATAAAATTAATAACGATATAGAGAATAAAATTAATTATCATAAATATTGCTAATTTTATAATGTATAAAATTTAATTTCATTAAATTGTAAAAATTAATATTAATATTTGATAGATTTAATGTGTATATATATATAATTTATATAATATTTAATATAATTTATAAAAAAAATATATATATTTTAAATTAAAATAAAATAAAAAAATGATTGTACAAAAATATTATTTTATTTTAAGTAAACATTATATATTAGCCTCGTATATTATATAATTTTAGTTCAATTGTTTACTTTAACAGGAATATAAAAGAAAAAATAATTTTTAATAGATGTTAAATTAATATTTTTTAATATTATTAAAATTAATAAAATCAATAAAAATTTTGAGCAAATAGCTTTATAACCAAGCAGATTTTTAATCTTAAATTGCATTATCTTATATGTGTAATTTAGATTATTTGAACGAAAAGAATAAAAAATATTTTCAAAATTTTATTATGTATATATAAAGTAAATATATTACATGTATATATTGAAATTTAAGGAAAATAGATTTTTCCTCAGAATTTTGAATTCAATAAATAATAATTTTTCTGCAATAATGAGCATCATACTTATAATATATTTTTTTAATTATATTTTTTTTTAATTCATTTAACTATATTCATATAATCAAATTATAAAAATATAAAAATATAAAAATAAAAACGTAAATGATTCAGCGAAGAAAAAATCGATTATATGTTAAAAATAAACAAATATAAAGAGTTAATCGTTTCTCTTTCTTTCTGAAAAACATCTCACGATTTTCATGAGATAATGAGATAATATAGAATGTCGAATCTTTAAAATTCTAATAATTGTTAGATTTATCTCAGGAATAAAAATAACTCTATTCTTTTACTTTGTCTTTTTTTTCAATATTTTATATCTTTTAAAACCTAAAATATTATAATAATAGAATTTATCCCATTATTTTCTTTAATCGTAAATATAAGGAGATGTCGAAAATAAAGCGTAGTAGCCTTTTAATGGATTCGTTTGGTAAAAAAAACAAGGTCTTAACTCTCTTTTAGGTTTTAACTCTCTTTACAATGAGGAATTTTATTCCTATCGTTTTTCTTGCCAATATGAGCTAATGGCATTTATCCAGTCTGCATCAAGAACATTGCAATATATCCAAGATATATTTCTTATTTATTCTTTCAAAAATTTGTCTAAATAAACAAAAACTAAATTTTCATACACAGCTACTCAAATTTTATCATTTTCTATTTTTCAAGTTTCTTTCTCCTTGTACTCTTATATTCTTTTTCAAAAACCACAATATTTTTGTATCGATTTTATCACTTTAGCGAATCTCGTGACAAATATCATTGACCACGGGAAATCCATGAACGCATCGAAATTACGTGAGAATGGGTTTCCAATTACAATGCCACCTAACAGCAGTTATATTTCGCGTGTTTGCACATATACTATGTTTATGTATGATGATGCATACCGTACAATCGGCATATCGTTAAGTCAAAGATCAATTAGCATAAATCAATGTTATTAGCATCTAATGGTATATCGTAATTCGAACGAATGAATGTTGTCTTCAGTTCTTGAATCGTTATGATATTTAACATTTTAATAAATAACTGAGTAAACGTTTGATCAATTTCATTTCGAGTTTGATTCGTATGTGTAATCGAATGTTTGTTCTCTCTGTTTTGAATGTTCGAATTAATATGCAACAGTGTAACATTTAGCATTTGGATATTAAATAAATAATAAATAATCTCAACACTCAATTGATTAATAAGAATAAAATCGAACAATTTGAATAAATGAATGTGTGTTCAAGTATTAGAATTAATACAATAATATACTTACTTCTAATAATGATAAATGAAATAAATACGTATTTAATAAAAATTAATAAAGAATGAAACATAATAATTGTAAATAAATAATATAAATCAATGAAAAATACTTTGTTTGAATATTCGAAAAAAGTTAGTTCGAAAAAAGTTCAATTAATTTTGAGAATTTAAATATTATTTACAATATTTAATAAATTAAATACAAAATAAATAATTAAATACTTAATTTTTATTTCATATTGATTTATATGAATCTAATTATATGAAGTTTATCGAATGGTTTATATATAATATAAATAATATAATATTATAAATATATAATATAATATTATAATATTATGTTTGTGATATATTATGTTGTATTTCTATAGAATTTTTGATATATGAAGAAACATTAAGAAGAAGAGTCTTAATGAGACGATAATCAAAGGAAAGAAATAAAATCGACAATATTTTAAACAATTATCCGTAGCGATTCCGATTTCGTAAATAAAAATAAACTTGAGCTCGTTTATCTGAGTTCCCCAATTATTTCTCAATTATTTCACAAAGTAATGCTTTAATATTTTTCAAAAATTTCGAAAGTTTCATCTAGAAATTATTTAAAAAGAAAACCGTTAATTGACTAGGAAATCATTTAGAAAAATAAATCGTAAAATTTTCTTTCATTGCATAAATCAATCAATATTTTGAAAGATAATTATATGTCAATAAAGGATGAAAAATTAGCTTTTTTTTTTGTTTAGTTTTTTTGCTTCCGATAATTGTGGCCTTTTTTGTATAAAAACTTATACTATCTTTTTTTTTTTGAATAATAAATATTTTCAATTCGTAGCTTATTTTTTCAATTATTTCTAATTTTTATGACTGTTTGTTCATTAACCTTAATAATAAAATTTATTTATAATTTGAAACTTGTTTTACAAATAAAAAGATTATAAAATTTGATATTTTATTTTTCTTTTGTCATCTTTATTATAATAATAAAATTTTTAATTTATTCGAAAAATAATTTTTATCTATCAACTCATCAAAACAATTTAAATTATATTTTTGTTATTATTTTTTTATTTGATATTTTTCAATAATAATTCATAATATTATATAATATTATATAATATTATATTAAAAAAGAAAAACAAAAAAATTTTTTAAATGTATAAATTTTCAAGCAAAATGCTTTCCATAAACGAATCGTATGATAAAAATACTGCGTATTTCTTATTTTCCTCTTCCTTCCTCTCCTCTCATTTCTATGAAGGACACGAACCCATGTAATGGGTTAATAGCTGCGCAAACGTAACAGTTGTGCTTTTAAATGTAATGCATGCAAACGATCCAGTTGCATTAAACATCGATATAAAAGAAAAAGAAAAGAAAAAAAGAAGAGAAAGAAAAAAAGAAAAGAAATAAAAAAGAAAACGAAACAAATTATTATGACGAAATATTACCTTACAAACGAGTTCCGTATCCCAAGGCAGGATAGAAATCAGGTCTATTACTTCGCAGGACGCCCCAAGCTCCTCCTGAACGAGATCTGCCACTTCCAATAGTACGTGCACCTGAGTTCCCCAGCCCACCAGTGTCACTGCATCACCTACATGCAAATCCACATTTTGTAAACCATATAATCGAATTTTAATAAATTGAATTTGAAGGGAAGAATTAAAATTTTAAAATTATGGAGGTTTTATTTTTTTTAAATTTTCAAAAAAAAAATTTAAAAAAAATAAAATTTTAAAAAAGAATATGAAAGAATTAATATTCTTTTCATATTCTTATAAAGTTTCAAAAAGAAAAAAATTTCTTATAATTTAAATATTATTTTTCGTTTTTAGATATTCGAGATAATTCTAATAAATGGAAGAAAAAAAATGAATGATTAGGTATTAATATATTATAATAAACAAGTATTTAAAATTATGACTATTGTAATAAACAAGTATTTAGAAAAATTTGATTTTTAATATTAAATTTTAATTTTAAATCAATTAAAAGGATATAAATGTGAACATATAAAAAATTAGAAAATAAGTTATAGTTGTAAGATTACATTAAATTAATATTTATAAGATAATATTCATAAGACATCTTTCAAGAATTGACTTTGAGATCAAAATAAATATAAAAATTAATGTACAAAAATTTCTATTAAGCTTATTTATCAAGTTATAAGTAATTGAAGTTTGCGTTAAATGAAGATAGAAATAAAAAAAGATCATTTTATCTTCGGTCATTTTTCTCTTCATTAAGCTTCATTTAACGCAAATTTAAATTATTTATAAATAAATATAATTAATAAATAATAAATAATTAACATTTTTGTATCAACTTTTATATTTGTTTTGATTTCTCGATTCTCCGAAGCAGTCTCATAAATATATTATATATTATTCTTTATATATTTAAAGTAAATTTATATTGTAAAGATTTTTATTATGAAAAAAAAGGAATAAACAAAATTATAATTTTATAGAGGTTTTCAAGTTATAGAGATTCTAATTACAGAAATTTTACTGTATTTAATTTTCTGTTTATTGACCAACTTTATCAATAGTATAATATTTAAAACATAGAATAATATTTAAAACATAGAAAAATAAATATATTAATCATTTAATTTTTGAAAAGTTGAACATTATATTTTGATCATATTTTAAATTAAAATTAGAAATTGTTTAGAAAGTGAAATTAATTGGTTTGGCTTTTAAATGATTCATTTGATATAATTAGGCACTATAATGATTGAAGATTAAATTTTGAAAACTTGATTGATTGCAATTCACAATTAGAATAATTATTTGATTATCGGTTAAAATTAATAATTATATATTAAATTTTTTTTTGATTTTTCAATATTGGCATTAATAATAAATTTTAATAAAATTAAATTAACAAATAACAATTATTATAATATAATAATTAATATACTGTATAATTAATAACTATTAATTAATTATATTAATAACTATAATTAATTATATTAATAATTATTAATTAATATAAATTTATAACCATAATTGATTATTTTCATCAATAATTATTTTAAGGATTCTTTTTTTTTTAATTTAATTATTAAATTTAATTAATTATGCATTTATAATATATTTCTGAAGAAATTATTTATAAATGTTAATCGATAATTAATGTTTAGATATATGAAATATCTTATTTTATACTATGTAAAGAGTATAAATAAAAAGCCATTTTAAAAATATTAATATATATCTGAATGAAAAGAATCTCAAATATTTTAAATAAAAAGTTGTTATCAAAAATTTAAAATGAATAATTATTGTAGAATTATATTTAATGCATCTCAAAATTATAATATATATAATAATATAATAATAATAACTATATTATAAATAATAATTTATATTTCAAAAGATTTCAATATCAAAATTGAACTTTGAAAATTAAATAAGAGATAACTTCAATCTTCAATAAAGTATATGAAAAATAATAATTCATTAATCAAAATAAATAATTCTTACTCAAAAAATAGTAATCATCCAAACGATTCTTTATCGTACATTTGCACACTGACAATTGTTCATTATCCATCATTTAACAGTTCACAAATATGTAATGAATTATTTATCCGATCAATTAATCGTTGATAATAACATTGATAATAATACAACAGCTATAAATTTCTCTGTAAAGAACTTGTGAAAGTTCCATTATGATCACGGTCGATCTACAATTATTACTTCGAACGTGAGAAAAAAAATGGCGAATTACGCGTGAAGGATAATCAAACATGATGTACGGACGATATCGTTACGCAGTTACAAAGTGAAACTTATCCATAAGATCTGTCTTCCTGCACGCCTACCTTCTCTCACAATCTCAGCCTTGCCGATCTCTATCTTATAATGAGCTGTCGGCACATCATCTATTGCAGTACGGTACAATATTTTCGGCTCGAACATGATGCAGGGATCCGGTTCCTCTATGCAGCTTAACAAAAGACCTTTCGCCTGTTTCGCTCCGCGGGGCATAACGATCTGAAAAAGACGCAGGTTACAATTCATTGTTGTGGTCATATACCCTGTTATAGTCATATACACGCAATCAATGATTACATTCTAGAATTTAGAGACAACCTTATCTTTATTTGAAAGTTTTGACACTGAAATTATATGTATATGCACAAAAAAGCATTTATTTGATGATATAATAATAAAATGAGTTTATATTTTCATTTTGAAAAGTATAATATAACTATTTTTTACGATTTATTTTTCTTGAAAACATTCATTAAAGTGTTCTTATCATTATACATATGTATACATGTATTATTAATGACATTAAAATTTATATTAAAATTCACATTAATATACAAATGATTTTGAATCAAAATAATTAACCAGTTATATAAACATCTATAAAATATTCTAAAATATATATTTTTTAATCTTCATTTTTAAAATGTATTATTTTCCAAAGATAGAATATTCCTCCTGTAAAAAATATTTTTTAAAATTTTATTAATTATTCAATAATTCAAAAATAACATGAGAAAGCAAAGATAAATTGAATGACGCAAGAGAGATATGAGGCAGTGTGCACTTTAATTAATGAAGTTTAGACTTCGACAAAAATATGTTCGAAACAAGTGTATATAGTAGAATATATAAGGTATGCAAAGTTTCATTACATAGCATTTTCACGGTTGGTATTGTGTCAAAGCACGAGACGAAGAACGTGTGATTTTTGATTTCAGGAAATGTCGGCGTGATGTGCGCACCGATGTTCATGTAATCGAGATGTATAGTGTCGGTAGCAACGCGTTAGTAGGAAAACTTTCTTCATGAATACGTAGAGTACATATGTCGTACAATATTCATGGGATCTCTTCTAGAAAGCCAATGACTATAGCTAAAGCATAATCTTTGACGAAGAATATATCCTTGAGTATAGAAATTCGTTCTACATGCTTGTTCGAGTTCTGTAATATTTCTATTCATTCAACCGATTTTTTTTATGATCGATTTCAATTATAGTTGAATAATTAACGATTACAAATCTAAAAATTTCTGAAATGTGCAAATTAAAATGAAAGCGATTTGATAAAAAAGTTAAAAAATACTGACTGAATGATTTATGATATAAAATTAGTTTGTCTGTATCATAAATTTATTCTATTACATGAATCAATATGAACTCCATAATTGTATCTTTACAAACATCTATTGGAGAATAAATGAAATATTTATTATCAACCAGAGTTAAAAAACTTTACTTGAAAAATATAATTGTCATTTTCAATATTATCGATATTACTACTTTGGAGAAGACAACAATGTTTTGAGAAAAGAATATAAAATTTATAATAATTAATATTTTATTGTTTATTGTATAAATTCATAATAGAATTATATTAATTAATAAAAAAAATCATATATNATATAATATATATATAAAATATATAAATATATATATATATTTATATAATATATATATTATTATAATAATAAAATTGCTTTTTTTTTTTAATTGAATATTGAATTTAACTAATTAGTGCTATATTTTTATTTTAATTGACAATCTCTTAACAAATTATTTTTGCCCGATATCTTTGTTTAGGAAACTTTGTTTTATTGATTTTTATTAAATTTTTAAACGAAATACTACAATATTATATATCTTAATATTTCACGTATATATCAAAAAGTCAGATTTTCTTTGATATAAAGAATAATCATAAAATCATCACGAATTATTTGAATCTAATATTCTATACAGTAGAATATTTGCACTAATATGCAATATATATATATTATTATTATTATAGTTACAAAATCTTGTTCTTTGAAAATTCTGTCATTGCTAAATGTTTGATATTAATATAATAAAATTATAGAAAATATTGAATTATTTTTCTTATATACCTTTAATCCTGGTGTATGAGCAAAATAAGCTTCTGGACTTTGCGAATGATAGAGACCACCATGACCGACGGCACCGCAAGGTGCCCGAACTGTTAACTTACCACATTCGAATTCTCCTCCACTTCGGTATCTCATTTTCGCCGCTTCATTTACCAACTGCAGATATAGTAATTTCACTTAGATAAATATTCAATTTTAGATTTATATTTTAATAATAACATGATTTTCTTAATAAAATAGTGTTTTTAATTTTTTGAAAATTAATAATCAATATTTTTTTGAAAATTAGTAGTCAATATTTTCAATAATAATAGTACCTGATCAAAAGCGGGAAATATATAATCAGCAAATTGAATTTCTGCGATTGCTGTTACGCCAGCAGTAGCTAAACCAATTCCAAAACCAGCAATTCCTTGTTCGCAAAGCGGTGTATTAAATACTCGTTCTTTGCCAAATTCTTTTTGTAAATTTATCGTACAACGAAATACTCCTCCGAATCCAACATCTTCCCCAAATATCACTGGATGTAGAAAAATAATTTTTACATTTTTTATTAAAAAAATATATGTATGAATATTATATAATTATAAACATTATGAATATTTCAAATTATGAATATTTTCTTCAAATTAATAAAAATAATCTATATATTAGTACATTATTAATTGTAAGAGATAAATTAAAAATTTAATTTATATATTAGAAAATTATTGTAACTTTCCTATAATATTTTTTTTAAATCATTTAATAATAATATTATTTGTTTATAAACAATTAGAATTTAAATTATAAAATGCTTTATAAATAATATTTTTTTATCTTTAATTAATTGTTTAGTAGAGAAAAAAAATTTTTTATATTATTTCATTACCTGCATTAGGATCCTTTGTCATTGCAATTCGAAGTCCATTGTTTATTGCTTGATACATATTCATTTTTTCAGTTTCACCTAAAGTATAATTATATTATAATATTTTTTGTTTTTATATTTACATATCATTGTATTTTATCAATCATACTTATCTATTCATAATATAACTGAATGTAAAATATTATTTTTTTATTTTTTATTTGTCTTGTTTACAATTTTTCAAAATATCAAATATAATTAAATTAATTATTATAATTATCAATAAATTAATTAAATTAACTTAATTACTGATAAAAATATATATAAACATTGTATTTTCATTTATATTATTAATATCATTAATATTCTTAATATTAAAGAGTGCTTTCATTAATAAAACTTCATTCCTATTTAATTTTCAATATATAGATAAGCAATTTTCTTATTTCATTTCAAAATTTAGTTTAACAATTTCATAACAATTCCATATAAATGTATCTATTCAATTTTTGCTTTAAATTGTCTTTTATTTATTATTTATGAAAGTATCTTTATTTAATTAATAAGAAAATATTTTTTAATCAAAATTGAAATATCAATTGTACTCACCGGGAATATTTTTGCTCTTGTCAGTATAATACGTGAATTGTATCCATCTGACATGTTCGCGCAATACTGATTTATCGGCGAGATTAAAAACGAAAGATGTACGAGCATTCGTTAACCGCGTAAACAATTTACTGAGTATCATCGCAACGAAATGACGATTGGAAGAGTGTAGCGATAATGAAAGCTTTGTAATATCCGCTTATTCTAACTTATATATATTATTGTAATTTAAAATATTCGAACTTCCATACTTAATGTAGATTTCGTAAACATTCTTATTTTCGAATATACTGTTTATATACATATTTCACTGTTGTACGTATGTGTGTATGTATAATAATCACATGATTATAGCGGAAAGAGTATGCATACGTATACATATTTATATGATTATACATGTGACTTCTTTCGAGAAGTCTCTGGTACTATATTATTTCTCGTATCATATAATTTCTTTTTTCCTTATGTTTGGGAAGAGGAGCACGATATGCAGTATAATAGATATATGTATATATTATGTAACTAGTATTTTATGTAACTGAATTCTGTTATAATTTTTAAATAATAGAAGATGGAAAAAATTTTGATTAACTAAATTTAAATGATATCATTCATATCATTGATGGATAGTATATCTGGAATTCATATCTACTCTGATCTTATTAATAAATATATTTATATATATATTTATATATTATATATTATATATATATATATTTTTAGAGTATTAGGATACTTGGATGAGAAATTATTAGTTTAAGATTTTTTATTTTTTAATTTTAAGATATTTTGATATTATTTTGTTAATTTTGTATTTTGATTCACATATATATGAATATTTCTAACATAAATGTTTATTAATAATTTTATCATGTAACTAATTAACTAATTTAATATTTCAAATTTACGAAAAAATTTAAAAAAGTGATATAATGATGATTTTTCTTTGTTGAATAATTTAAAAAGTTTATAGTTTTAATACGAATTGCTTATTTGATAAATAGTTTTAATTATAAAAAATACTCATATTATTCTTATATTTTATATATATTTTTTATAGACTTTTTATTTTTTACAAAATTGTATTGATTTGAAATTGAGTTATTTTTAATACTTAAAAAATTATATATTTTAATGTCTGTTAAATATTTTACAGACATTAATATTTCAATATCATATACAATTTAAATAATAAATTATAAATATATATAGTTATTTTTAAAAAATGCTGAAGCAAGTTCGTTAGTGTCTGAATCTAATTTATAAATATTTAAAATTTAATCATTAAAATTGCTATGAATAGGTGCTATTTGTAAGCATGATGAAATTGTGTAAATATGAGCGATTCGTAATAGACATTTAATATATACAAATATATAATATATATAATATATAGATATATTGAAATATAATATTAAAAAAATAATATTAAAATATCTTCTAAAATAATCATTTCTTAATTATAATATTTATTACAATATTTTTCTAAAAAGAATAAAAATGCATTCAATATATTGAAAAGTAGATATTTTTAACTAAAAAAATAATAATAAGATATGTAAAAATGTCTAAATATTTCTACTTTTGAAATAAAAATATAATATTTTATAAGTCAGAAAGTGTTTTGATCAGAATTTGACATATCAAAATTAATTAATTTTCTGGTAAGTTAATAGAGCAATTATATTATATATTATAATGTGTAGTTATCTTATTTGTAGGAAACAGTTTCATTGCTCAATAGTTTCAATTGTAATAATCTTGCACAATACTGATTATGAGTTTAGGAAGTGTTTAAATTATATAAGATAAATAAAGAATTATATAAGATAAATAAACTGTTAAATTACATACTTATATAAGAATTATTAATTGATTAAAATTTTTTGTAAATAATATAAAATAAATATAATTTTATATTTGTATAAAATTTTAAAATATAAAATATATTAATAAACTATTTAAATATAATAAACTATTTATAAAACAATAAATATATTTTAAATATAATAATATTTTTAAAATTAATAATTGAATAATTGATGGATTATTAAATAAGATAATTTTTTATAAAGTTAAAAATAAATTTAATATTATAAAAATATATAATTATAAATTAACATATATCATTAATCAATTATAAAATTAATAAATTAATAAATTATTAGTAGGATATTGAAATTTTAAAATTTAAATAAATTTCATTTTTTAAAATTTTATTCATTTGTAATCATACAAATAAGATAATTACTTGTATTATTATCGATAACTAGTTACATTCAATCTTGTTTATCGAGTTACGGTTATTAAATGAGAGCAAGTCAGAAAAAATCTAATAAAGTTAGTGTTGAATCGTTAAATTTAAAATGACACAAGATGATAAAAATATATAATCCTTGAAATATATAATAAAAAATGATTTTTGAACTGTATTTTTAAAAATCGATGAAATTTTATAAATAAATTTTTCAATTTGATTGAAATTTTATAAAAAGATTCACTTTACAAAAAAATAGTATTTGCGAGAAGGATTTTTGAATGTTAGATGCAAAATTTTACAAAAAGTTTTTTATCACTTTAGTATCACTTTCAATATTATCGATATAACATCAAGTAAGATTAAAACAGTATTCAGTATTTTTTCTGTAAAAGAATATAATAAATATTTTTTTATTGATAAAAAAATTATATCGAAAAATTATATCATGAATTAGTGAATAAACTATAATATTCAACACATGTTATTTTTATACTTGTTATTTTATACTTGTTATTTTTAGATATTAACTTAGACTTGTTTTTCTCCAACATATGTTACTCAGACTTGTTCGTGCTTGGTCGAGCATATAGTCAACGCTATCATTATTGTTGACTAGACTATACGCTTTATGATTGGTTAGTGTTTTTTGTTAATAACTCATTAACAAAATCGTAACGAAAGTTTTTGCAAAGAAAAATATTGTTTGAAATTAACTTAGAAATCTCCAGTTAACAGATGCTTCTATATTTTTGGAACATATATATTACAGTTAATTCGTAAAAACAAGAAGTTAATTCGAAAAATATATACACTTTCTTACACTTAATTTATTTATACAGTATATATTTTCTAATATTTATTAATAAATGTATTTTCATATATGATTTAGTAAAAGTATAACATAAAATAAAAATAATATGATTGACAGGATTGATTATATATAAAATCATGATAAATTTTTGCAAATTTCAGATTTTTATTTTCGATAAATTTATACAGTATCAATCTAAGACTAAATATTTTTATTATTATAGAATAATAATTTTGATTTTTAGTTTTAGTTCTTTAAGTTTTCGCTAGATCTTAAATTGAAAATTCAAAACAAAGTTTCCATAACAACGATTGGCTTACAAGCGTCACTTGTAAAATTCAAACAAAGTAATTAGTGAAAATAGTGGAGTTATAGTGGTGATAATTGATAAATCATTGTGAAAAATGGGTCGTACTGATTGGGATCATTTATTGTCAACGGATCCATCATCATTGACTGATGATGATATGGAGGATTTTTATCCTGCTATAGTTAGCTGTGATGTCGATGACATTAGTGATATACATAACCTACGAACTCTGATGAAACTATCTCAAGAAATATTACAATACAAAGATCATCAAGTAAAAATAATTATTTAAATTGTTATTATCTTATTGCTATTATCTTAAATTGTTCTTTATAGAATATCTTTATTATTATTTATGTGATATTTATTCAATAAAAATAGCACTTTTATTTTTATTCGTTTGATTACATATTTCCTTACATAAAATAATATAAAAATAATTAGTATTATTTAATATAATATTTTTAAATTTATTTGCTCAATAGGTAGAATCATTACTCTTAGAATGTGGTGAATTAAAACAAACAATTTCTTCTTTAAAACCTGAACCTGCTAAACGTAAGAGAAAAGGTAAATTGTTTGTATTTAAAATAAAATTTAAATTAAATAATTATTATTAATTAAACTATTATATTTATTATATTAAACTTATAGTACTAAACCTATTATATTAATTTAATATGCAATATTTGTATAATAATGTTATTATATTGCAATTAATATTATATTACAATATTATAATAAAAAACATTTTATGTGATAGAATGGGATGTATCTGATACAAAACATGAAACCGCTGAATTATCTAAAGTAAGATATTTGATTAAATATATAATGAAGATATATATAATATATTTTTAGTATCTCGTAAAATTATTTTTGTTATTTGTTTTAAGCATATAGATATATCTGAAAATACTGATGATGATGCTTTGCAAGAAAAAAATAAAAAAATAAAAATTCTTATGACAGAATTGGAGGTGAGTTTGGATAAAGAAAATAGAGAAAAACAATATTTTGATATATTTTGATATATTTTATATACAGAATACAGAAAGAGATAATATGGTATTAAAAGAACGTTTAACAACATTAACTCAAGAAATGGAAGATGCAACAGAAAAAATGAATGAAATGGCAGAAGAACTCAATTCTGCTCAAATTAAATCTATTGAATATAAAGGTTATTATGATGAAGTAAAATAAATAGGCATAATAGGCACAAGTTTTCAATTAGATTATTTTATTACATATTAATAGTATTATATATTAATTTCAGAAAAAATATCTGATTTAGAACGTGAAAATATTGCATTAGTTAGACAAATTGAGGAAATTACAACTCAGCAAACAGATAGAGATAAAGCAATAGATGACTTTAGTACAGCAATTGATGCTAGAATTAATGAATGGAAGGTACATAGAAATATAATAATTTTCTTATTGCTAATTCAAAATAAAATTATTACATTTTATGATAATTTGTTAGATAATATTAGAGGAAAAAGACGAAGAAATTTTGCGATTAAAAGAAAATTTATCCCAATCATTAGTACAATCTGTTGTTTCTGCTAAAGAACAAAATAAAAGCGAAATAATTTATTTAAATGAACAAATAGATCATCGCGATAAAATTATAGTTGAATTAAAAACCAAATTAACTGAAGCCACAATTGAAATTAATGAAAGTGCAACTCTTATAGAAAAATTAAAAATAGATGCACAAAAGTATGTATATATTTTAAAAAAATAAAGATGTTCAATAAATTAAAAGTTAAAGTTTTATTGGTATTTCCTTTAGAATAAAAAAAAGCGACAAAAAGAAAGAAGAAAGGGATTTGTTAAAAAAATTACAAAATGCGAATGAACAAATTTCCAAATTGCAAGTTAAATTGAACGAAGCAGAAGAAGAT